AAATTATGATTTTAAGTTATGTCCTTTCTTGGTGAATTTTAAAAGAGCTTCAGAAAAAGATTTTCAATAATAAAAACAATAAAAAAAACAAACCAGGTATTATTAAATGTGTGTCCAGTCATTCAATAACTCTATAATCTGGAGGGATTAGATCTTATTTGAAAGTAGTTAATGTCTGAAAAGGTCCCAGATTTTTTTTTTTATTGTTAGTTTTCTTTGTACTATTTAATTCAAAAATAAAAAAATAACTGGATGCAAAGAATAATTTAAAAATATCTAAAAATATACCTTGTTACAATGTGCTATAATCTGAAGATATATATACCTGTTATATATTATCAGCTATCAATAAAATATGTAATATTACAAATTAACAACAGTTTTTACATTTTTAAAAGATTCTTAGCATCCTATTGTTTTTCTTATAATAAATAGTGTAATTTAGGATGACATGTTGTTGGGGAGTGTTGGCCTAGTGGTTAGAGCAGTGCACTTCCAAGTTCTAAGTTCGATCCACACAGCCTCCACTCTGGGTCCCTGATTAAGACCCTTAACCCCACACTGCTCCCTGGGTGCTGAAAAATGGCAGCCCACTGCTCCCCAAGGGGATGGGTTAAATGCAGAGGTGGATTTCTTGAATGTGAGGTCAATTATTATTGTCACGTTGGAACCTTTTACAGGCAACCTGTCACAGTCTTGATTCTGTTATGTTTTACTTTGCTCCATGTTTTTTGTAGTTTTATTGATTTAATTCCTATTTTGTTGTATTTTCTGGATATATTTGAGTTCTAAGGTTTTTATGTTTCCCTCTGTTGCCCTCTTGTGTTGGTCTCGTTTTCCCTAGCTCCTTCCTTTGCTGCTCTGTTCACACCTGCTCCCAATCTGCTCGTTAGTCCTCTCTTTCCTCAGTGCTGGTTCCTCTGTCCTACCTCGTCTTTCCCTGGCTCCTCGTGATTATTTTCCCCTGACGTCTTCATGGTTCTGGTTTGTGTTACATTTTAAGTTGGATTTTTGCCTCAATTGTTTGTGTTTATTAATCAAACTGCAATAAATCACCTCAGCCTCTCTGCATCTGGGTCCTCTAAAGCACAACCAAACCTTGACACCACCTGCTGCTGATGTGGAGCAAGCTCTGTACTGGTGGCTATGCAGTTTTAGTCCTTTCCATTCATTTCAGGCCCATTCATGTCCATTTGCGTTGGACATGAATGTATGTACATCACTGTATTACAATTCAATCTCTTGCTTTAAAAGGATTCCCAAAAGGAAAACCAAAGAAGAAGAAATAACTGGAGATGAAGTCAACCGTTCTCACCTGATGCGGTGGTTTACTTACTTTACATCACTCTGAACGCGGCATCCCTACAGCCAATGGTGTCAACATCATCCATCCATCCATTTTATGTCATGCTTATCCCTGCTGGGGTCGCAGTGGGGGCGGTGCCTATCTCCAGCTGTCACTGGGCGAGAGGCGGGGTCCACCCTGGACAGGTCGCCAGTCCACTGTGATGGTGAAGTACTTAAAATTATGAAATTGTTTATTTTGAGGGAGTTTTTGTGTCTATTAGCAATCATTAACTGATGAAAACCACTTTGTTAATTGAACCTAAAACTAATTAATTGTAAAGAAACCAAATGTGAAAAAAATTCTCTGAGTCTGAACAGACTTGAGTCTATTCAGTGTAAACAGTGTGGTGGTTCCTTTCAGCATTTTAACCTAATTACCTGCTAAGCAGTCATTAAACATATACAGCGAACACGTGAGCAGTGGCGGTTCTAGACCAAATGTACCGGGGGGCCAGGAGGGGGCCAGTGTGTTTTCATGGGGGCACATTGAAGCATTAAATAAAAAACAGGGCAAGGGATTCAAATAAATTAAGAGAGCTGCATGAAGTGAAATTTATATTCAATTATGTTTAATTAAAATTCTATATCTTTTTAGGACAATATACAGTCATAATTTACATATTTTTGACTCAATTTAAGTTAAAATGACTATTTTGTATAAATTTGTATGAGTTCTTCTTTTTTTTTTTTACATTTAGCAGATGAAAACTGGGATCCTATCTCAACACCACTAAAGCTATCTCCTTATTGTTTTTAAATAATTAATAAAACAGAATTAGTAAAGAAAAAAAATTAAAATAGATCCAAAGGATCTGTTCCAACACACATCATCATTAGAATTTCTTTGAGTATTATGTCTTCAGTACAGGGTCCAGGATGTGATCTACAGGGGCAGGGGGCCCTCTGAATAG